AACCTTGCCACTTCTTTTTGTGGTGCTGGACATTGAACCCAAGGTCTTGTGCCTGCGAGCCAACTGAGCTACATCCCCATCCACATGCCCAGCCCTTTAAAAAAATGTTCTTTTTGATTTTTGAAACAGGCTCTCACTGAGCTGCTGAGGCTGGCCTCCAATTTGCGATCCTCCTGCCTCAGCCTCCCAGATCGGCTGGGATTACAAGTGTGCCACCCCCCACCCATTTTAAGTTCAATTAATGTAGTAAAAATGCAGTTGTGGCCATTGCACTTACTGAAAGAAGTAAACTTGGGGCTTTTTTTTTTTTCTTTTTTGAAATCAAGTTTTTCATAGTAAGGATTGACTTAAAGAATCAGGATTTTGATCAATTAGCTAGAATATTTAGATTGCCCACAGGCAGCTCACATGGGCTGCCCACTAGATTCTGTGTCATTCCTTGTACCCTCATGGATGCCTTTGGCTCTTGCTCCCAGGACTTAAAAAGTGAGTCAGAGAACTCGGCGCTCGCCTGAAGTTACGGTAGTTCTGGAGGCTGAGGCAGGAGGATAGCAAATTGGAGGCCAGGTTCAGCAATTTAGGGAGACCCTAAACAATTTGGTGAGACCCTGGGATGGGGCTTATAGATCAAGTGCCCCCCTGGGTTTAATCCCCAGTACCCCCCCAAAAAAAGAAAGCTAGGTGTGGGGCTGAGTGTCTGGTATCCCAGTCACCTGGGAGGCTGAGGCCGGAGGATCGCAAGGTTGAGGCCAGCCTCGGCAATTTCACGAGAACCTGTCTCAAAATAAATAAAAAGGGGCTGGGGATGTGTCTCTATGGTTCAAATAAAATGATAAACAGGAAAGATGTCCCTTTTACCTTTGTCTTCTAAACAGTGTCCTCTAAAAAGAAGAATTTCTAGTTCATTCCAAAAATGCTATTGCAAATAAAACCCCAAAGTGCATCATGCACACTAATATAAGGGCTTGTTTTCCGCTTGCTGTTGTTACCCGGTCCTCCCTGGTGACACAGAGGACAGGTCTGGGTTTGCCCTTCCCTTCCCACCTGCACACCCCCCCCCTCCCCAGGAAATCTCAGCTCGTTCTAAATCCTTACAAGGTCTTGGTGGCTCTTGAGTCCCTGTTATCTGGGGCGACACAGAGGCCTGTTATGTAAACTGGGTTTTGCAGATCACTAGACTCGGCCTCCCGAGCCGAGCTGAGGCTGGCCTTGTTCAAGTGTTTCCCCTTGATTCAATTCTGCACTGGGGACAGGCCACTTCTCTTCTCCCGCCGAGGTAGAGTCTGTGCCCTTGGACCTGGGCCTTGGTTTTCAGTCTCAAGTGGCCCTCGTCCCCACCTGTTATTTTGGATTTTCTGGCTTTCAGAAGAAAGGGCAGTTAGCTGGGTGTGGGGCATGTGGGGGCGCACACACAGGCCTGTCATCCCAAATCTCAGCTCTGGAGGCTGAGGCAGGAGGATC